ATGAAAACTAGGTACAAGAGGTTGAACTACTTCTAAAATCTTGAAGTATATGGTTGACCCTTTCAAACCCAGTAGGATGGAATTTGGGAAGGCAATACAGCAAATCAATATCCATTTATAAGTAGTCAGGCTGAAAATTCTGGTTGCCTGACTGCTTAATATTTAACTGGAAATTTAAAGCTAGAAGGAAACGTAATAGTTCATAAACTCACCTCCTTCACCATCATCTGATCCTCTGAAACTAGGATCCTTTAGCATATCTAGTTCAGCTAACATGCGCACATACAGTGCGTTCTGTTTGAATGAAGGATAAAATCTTTCATTCCGCAGCATCAATTCATACACCTTTAGAAATAAAATACCAAGATTACCATAGTTAATAGTTAACATGAGTTACTATATACACAAAATTTGTATTAAAATCTACATTACAGACACATCATCTGTCTCACAAACATTCTCGGTTGCGGGAGAATCTTTTAAATCTTGTTGCTGTATTATATAAATGCTTTGGTTTGCATGAAGCACAACTAATACACTTTAGAAAAAAAAGGTTTGATATTACTAGTTCTAGTGAAATTTCCCTTTGAAAGTATAGAGAATATCTGCTCAAACAGACACCATGTTTGCCAATAAAAAGGTTAAAAGGTCACCCATTGTTGTATATATATTTTCCCTTGTTTACTGCAATGTAGTTAAACATGTTTGCCAATAAAAAGGTTAAAAAGTCACCCTTTGTTGTATATTTTCCCTTGTTTACTGCAATGTAGTTAACCTTTTTACCTCTAATAGTGCCATAATATTTAACAGTATTTCTGTTTATTGCAATAGCAACAAGTGTAGATTTAAGACATCCTTACCAAAAAAAAATGCATAAAAAGTCCTAGCTCAGGCACAAAAATTTACTTACAAAAATGTATCCTTATCTTGATAGTATTAAAAATAATTGGACTTAAACACATGTTTACATGTTGCCCTCAAAACAGATGCTTTCCTAAACTGGAACTTTAAAACAGATATCAATATCACCCTAATTATAACCATGTCAAAAATTACTGTAATATGTACATCTTCACCCCTCGCCACTTGCTTTTAAAACAAGTTATGAAGGTTAGGCTATGCACTGGAACTGTAAAACAGCATAGGATGATTAATTTGAATCTCAGATACATTGGAGTGACTAATTTCTTAATGAAAACAAGAAAAGTATGGTTGTTGACAATAAATCCTGTAGAATGGGAACAGGAAAGGATACAATCAATGTTTTTTTATTTAAATTAAATGCAAATTTAAAGTTGGTATAAATGTAAGCCTTAATATAGGCTAACATATTACAATTTAAATTAATTACAATAATTTAATAATTTAAACACAAAAATGTTAAGCATTACGTTGCTGCTCAGTTGTAAAGAAAGCCAAACTCCTGAACAGGTGAAAGCCACTTGCTGAGCATCTGAAATCAGTCTTTAATGAAGAACTAAACAAGCTTTTGATAGAAATGTAGCCGTGTTAGTCTGGTGTAGCTGAAACAAAATACAGGACTATGTAGCACTTTAAAGACTAACAAGATGGTTTATTAGATGATGAGCTTTCATGGGCCAGACCCACTTCCTCAGATCAAAATCTGAGGAAGTGGGTCTGGCCCACGAAAGCTCATCATCTAATAAACCATCTTGTTAGTCTTTAAAGTGCTACATAGGCCTGTATTTTGTTTAAACAAGCTTTTGACAGCAGTAGCTTTTTTTGCAGAGGTAGAAAGAATATTTTCTTCGTGTCTTTTTATTCAACTACTTCAGTTCAATA